GGACTGCCTGGTGCCTTGGACTGCCTGGTGCCTTGGACCGCCTGGTGCCTTGGACTGCCTGGTGCCTTGGACTGCCTGGTGCCTTGGACTGCCTGGTGCCTTGGACTGACTGGTGCCTTGGACTGCCTGCTGCCTTGGACCGACTGTTGCCTTGGACTGCCTGGTGCCTTGGACTGCCTGGTGCCTTTGACTGCCTGGTGCCTTGGACTGACTGGTGCCTTGGACTGCCTGCTGCCTTGGACCGACTGTTGCCTTGGACTGCCTGGTGCCTTGGACTGCCTGGTGCCTTGGACTGCCTGGTGCCTTGGACTGCCTGGTGCCTTGGACTGCCTGGTGCCTTGGACTGCCTGGTGCCTTGGACTGCCTGGTGCCTTGGACTGCCTGGTGCCTTGGACTGCCTGTTGCCTTGGACTGTCTGGTGCCTTGGATTGCCTGGTGCCTTGGACTGACTGTTGCCTTGGACTGCCTGTTGCCTTGGACTGCCTGGTGCCTTGGACTGCCTGGTGCCTTGGACTGTCTGTTGCCTTGGACTGCCTGTTGCCTTGGACTGCCTGGTGCCTTGGACTGCCTGGTGCCTTGGACTGCCTGGTGCCTTGGACTGCCTGGTGCCTTGGACTGCCTGGTGCCTTGGACTGCCTGTTGCCTTGGACTGCCTGGTGCCTTGGACTGCCTGGTGCCTTGGACTGCCTGGTGCCTTGGACTGCCTGGTGCCTTGGACTGCCTGGTGCCTTGGACTGCCTGGTGCCTTGGACTGACTGGTGCCTTGGACTGCCTGGTGCCTTGGACCGATTGTTGCCTTGGACTACCTGGTGCCTTGGACTGCCTGTTGCCTTGGACTGCCTGTTGCCTTGAACTGCCTGGTGCCTTGGACTGCCTGGTGCCTTGGACTGCCTGGTGCCTTGGACGGCCTGGTGCCTTGGACTGACTGTTGCCTTGGACTGCCTGGTGCCTTGGACTGCCTGGTGCCTTGGACTGCCTGGTGCCTTGGACTGTCTGGTACCTTGGACTGCCTGGTGCCTTGGACTGCCTGGTGCCTTGGACTGCCTGGTGCCTTGGACTGCCTGGTGCCTTGGACTGCCTGGTGCCTTGGACTGCCTGGTGCCTTGGACTGCCTGGTGCCTTGGACTGCCTGGTACCTTGGACTTCCTGGTGCCTTGGACTGCCTGGTGCCTTGGACTGACTGTTGCCTTGGACTGCCTGTTGCCTTGGACTGCCTGGTGCCTTGGACTGCCTGGTGCCTTGGACTGCCTGGTGCCTTGGAACTGCCTGGTGCCTTGGACTGCCTGGTGCCTTGGACTGCCTGTTGCCTTGGACTGCCTGGTGCCTTGGACTGCTTGGTGCCTTGGACTGACTGTTGCCTTGGACTGCCTGTTGCCTTGGACTGCCTGGTGCCTTGGACTGCCTGGTGCCTTGGACTGCCTGGTGCCTTGGACTGCCTGGTGCCTTGGACTGCCTGTTGCCTTGGACTGCCTGGTGCCTTGGACTGCCTGGTGCCTTGGACTGCCTGGTGCCTTGGACTGACTGGTGCCTTGGACTGCCTGCTGCCTTGGACCGACTGTTGCCTTGGACTGCCTGGTGCCTTGGACTGCCTGGTGCCTTGGACTGCCTGGTGCCTTGGACTGCCTGCTGCCTTGGACCGACTGTTGCCTTGGACTGCCTGGTGCCTTGGACTGCCTGTTGCCTTGGACTGCCTGGTGCCTTGGACTGCCTGGTGCCTTGGAATGCCTGGTGCGTTGGACTGCCTGGTGCCTTGGACTGCCTGGTGCCTTGAACTGACTGTTGCCTTGGAACGACTGTTGCCTTGGACTGCCTGGTGCCTTGGACTGCCTGGTGCCTTGGACTGCCTGGTGCCTTGGACTGACTGTTGCCTTGGACTGCTTGGTGCCTTGAAGTGCCTGGTGCCTTGGACTGCCTGGTGCCTTGGACTGACTGTTGCCTTGGACTGCCTGGTGCCTTGAACTGCCTGGTGCCTTGAACTGCCTGGTGCCTTGGACTGCCTGGTGCCTTGGACTGCCTGGTGCCTTGGACTGTCTGTTGCCTTGGACTGCCTGGTGCCTTGGACTGCCTGGTGCCTTGGACTGCCTGGTGCCTTGGACTGCCTGGTGCCTTGGACTGCCTGGTGCCTTGGACTGCCTGGTGCCTTGGACTGCCTGGTGCCTTGGACTGCCTGTTGCCTTGGACTGTCTGGTGCCTTGGATTGCCTGGTGCCTTGGACTGACTGTTGCCTTGGACTGCCTGTTGCCTTGGACTGCCTGGTGCCTTGGACTGCCTGGTGCCTTGGACTGTCTGTTGCCTTGGACTGCCTGTTGCCTTGGACTGCCTGGTGCCTTGGACTGCCTGGTGCCTTGGACTGCCTGGTGCCTTGGACTGCCTGGTGCCTTGGACTGCCTGGTGCCTTGGACTGCCTGTTGCCTTGGACTGCCTGGTGCCTTGGACTGCCTGGTGCCTTGGACTGCCTGGTGCCTTGGACTGCCTGGTGCCTTGGACTGCCTGGTGCCTTGGACTGCCTGGTGCCTTGGACTGACTGGTGCCTTGGACTGCCTGGTGCCTTGGACCGATTGTTGCCTTGGACTACCTGGTGCCTTGGACTGCCTGTTGCCTTGGACTGCCTGTTGCCTTGAACTGCCTGGTGCCTTGGACTGCCTGGTGCCTTGGACTGCCTGGTGCCTTGGACGGCCTGGTGCCTTGGACTGACTGTTGCCTTGGACTGCCTGGTGCCTTGGACTGCCTGGTGCCTTGGACTGCCTGGTGCCTTGGACTGTCTGGTACCTTGGACTGCCTGGTGCCTTGGACTGCCTGGTGCCTTGGACTGCCTGGTGCCTTGGACTGCCTGGTGCCTTGGACTGCCTGGTGCCTTGGACTGCCTGGTGCCTTGGACTGCCTGGTGCCTTGGACTGCCTGGTACCTTGGACTGCCTGGTGCCTTGGACTGCCTGGTGCCTTGGACTGACTGTTGCCTTGGATTGCCTGTTGCCTTGGACTGCCTGGTGCCTTGGACTGCCTGGTGCCTTGGACTGCCTGGTGCCTTGGAACTGCCTGGTGCCTTGGACTGTCTGGTGCCTTGGACTGCCTGTTGCCTTGGACTGCCTGGTGCCTTGGACTGCTTGGTGCCTTGGACTGACTGTTGCCTTGGACTGCCTGTTGCCTTGGACTGCCTGGTGCCTTGGACTGCCTGGTGCCTTGGACTGCCTGGTGCCTTGGACTGCCTGTTGCCTTGGACTGCCTGGTGCCTTGGACTGCCTGGTGCCTTGGACTGCCTGGTCCCTTGGACTGCCTGGTGTCTTGGACTGCCTGGTGCCTTGGACTGCCTGTTGCCTTGGACTGCCTGTTGCCTTGGACTGCCTGGTGCCTTGGACTGCCTGGTGCCTTGGACTGCCTGGTGCCTTGGACTGCCTGGTGCCTTGGACTGCCTGGTGCCTTGGACTGCCTGGTGCCTTGGACTGCCTGGTGCCTTGGACTGACTGGTGCCTTGGACTGCCTGCTGCCTTGGACCGACTGTTGCCTTGGACTGCCTGGTGCCTTGGACTGCCTGGTGCCTTGGACTGCCTGGTGCCTTGGACTGACTGGTGCCTTGGACTGCCTGCTGCCTTGGACCGACTGTTGCCTTGGACTGCCTGGTGCCTTGGACTGCCTGGTGCCTTGGACTGCCTGGTGCCTTGGACTGACTGGTGCCTTGGACTGCCTGCTGCCTTGGACCGACTGTTGCCTTGGACTGCCTGGTGCCTTGGACTGCCTGTTGCCTTGGACTGCCTGGTGCCTTGGACTGCCTGGTGCCTTGGAATGCCTGGTGCCTTGGACTGCCTGGTGCCTTGGACTGCCTGGTGCCTTGAACTGACTGTTGCCTTGGACCGACTGTTGCCTTGGACTGCCTGGTGCCTTGGACTGCCTGGTGCCTTGGACTGCCTGGTGCCTTGGACTGACTGTTGCCTTGGACTGCTTGGTGCCTTGAAGTGCCTGGTGCCTTGGACTGCCTGGTGCCTTGGACTGACTGTTGCCTTGGACTGCCTGGTGCCTTGAACTGCCTGGTGCCTTGAACTGCCTGGTGCCTTGGACTGCCTGGTGCCTTGGACTGCCTGGTGCCTTGGACTGACTGTTGCCTTGGACTGCCTGGTGCCTTGGACTGCCTGGTGCCTTGGACTGCCTGGTGCCTTGGACTGCCTGGTGCCTTGGACTGCCTGGTGCCTTGGACTGCCTGGTGCCTTGGACTGCCTGGTGCCTTGGACTGCCTGGTGCCTTGGACTGCCTGTTGCCTTGGACTGCGTGGTGCCTTGGACCGACTGTTGCCTTGGACTGCCTGGTGCCTTGGACTGCCTGGTGCCTTGGACTGCCTGGTGCCTTGGACTGCCTGGTGCCTTGGACTGCCTGGTGCCTTGGACTGCCTGGTGCCTTGGACTGCCTGGTGCCTTGGACTGCCTGGTGCCTTGGACTGCCTGGTGCCTTGGACTGCCTGGTGCCTTGGACTGCCTGGTGCCTTGGACTGCCTGTTGCCTTGGACTGCCTGGTGCCTTGGACTGCCTGGTGCCTTGGATTGCCTGGTGCCTTGGACTGCCTGTTGCCTTGGACTGCCTGGTGCCTTGGACTGCCTGGTGCCTTGGACTGACTGTTGCCTTGGACTGCCTGGTGCCTTGGACTGCCTGTTGCCTTGGACTGCCTGGTGCCTTGGACTGCCTGGTGCCTTGGACTGCCTGTTGCCTTGGACTGACTGTTGCCTTGGACTGACTCTTCCCTTGCCTCTCCTATCAATGCAGGGCCTGGTCTCATGGACTGCCTGCTTCCACTTCTTCTACACCCAATGGGTGGCCACTGCCTCCTGCTTTCCACCACCTCACACCGCTTTGTACCTGTCTCCTTGCTGTTATGCAACCCCATTACAGGGCCTGGTCTCCTGGACTGCCTGGTGCTACTTCTTCTACACCCAATGGGTGGCCACTGCCTCCTGCTTTCCACCACCTCACACCGCTTTGTACCTGTCTCCTTGCTGTTATGCACCCCCCATTACAGGGCCTGGTGTCCTGGACTGCCTGGTGCTACTTCTTCTACACCCAATGGGTGGCCACTGCCTCCTGCTTTCCACCACCTCACACCGCTTTGTACCTGTCTCCTTGCGGTTATGCACCCCCATTACAGGGCCTGGTTTTATGGACTGCCTGCTGCTACTTCTTCTATACCCAATGGGTGGCCACTGTGGCTCGCACCTTTGCTGCCTCACTGACTCCCAATAGCCCTGTGCTGGACGAGCTAAAATGGTAGTGTTTCAGTAGGTGTACATGGCATAATGGGATCTTTTTATTGATATATGGACATTTATGTAGAATTAGGAATTTATTCCGGTACCGAAAAAAGGCAAGAGTTGTTCTAGCCTATCAAATGCTACAATGCTACACCCTATTCAATACATTTCCAATACATACATTTTATATATTGGTACGCACGCACTGTAGAAAGCACATGCATGTCTTTCATCTACCTCCTGCCGTGACAGACAGCTCTCCGACTAATCGGTCAGACTGCTGCTAACCAATACCAGGGCCTACTTATTCACATTATACACATGCCAACATGTCATCTCATTATGATTGGTTTGCTTTTGAGTCGTCTCAAAAGCATCTCATTATGCTTGCCTCTTTACAAAGTTGAATACCTCTGTAAGGCGGACATGCATCTCCTTATGCTTGCTTCTTTACAAAGTTGAATACATCTGTAAGGCGGACATGCATCTCCTGCCATGTTGGCACTTGTGCCTTGCAGGCTCGGCTGTCCACTAAAGATCTGCCATATGCGGTGCCATGCCATGCCATATGCGGTGCCATGCCATGCCATATGCGGTGCCATGCCATGCCATATGCGGTTCCATGCCATATGCGGTGCCATGCCATGCCATAGGCGGTGTCATGCCATGCCATATGCGGTTCCATGCCATACGTGGTTCCATGCCATATGCGGTGCCATGCCATGCCATATGCGGTTCCGTGCCATATGTGGTTCCATGCCATATGCGGTGCCATGCCATGCCATAGGCGGTGCCATGCCATACCATATGCGGTTCCATGCCATATGTGGTTCCATGCCATATGCGGTGCCATGCCATGCCATATGCGGTTCCATGCCATATGCGGTGCCATGCCATGCCATATGCCGTTCCATGCCATATGCAGTGCCATGCCATGCCATATGCGGTTCCATGCCATATGCGGTGCCTTGCCATGCCATATGCGGTTCCATGCCATATGCGGTGCCATGCCATGCCATACGCGGTTCCATGCCATATGCGGTTCCATGCCATGCCATATGCGGTTCCATGCCATGCCATGCCATATGCGGTTCCATGCCATGCCATGCCATGCCATGCCATACCATGCCATAACATGCCATGCAATACATGTTACATGCCATGCCATGCCATGCCATGTCATGTATCGCGTTAGCACCGGGGAAGCTGTTTCTGAGCCAACGCAATTAGTCACCTCTTTCTCCCCACCTACCTCCATACCACCCACCTTTCTCCCCACCTGCTTTCGTTCCACCCACCTGTGCCGTTCCAAAAAGTCCCTGTATTGCTGAAGCACCTGTGAAACCACCTCGTCTCGCACGCTTGCCCGAGCATCGGCATTCCCAATGCTCCACGTGCTCTGCTGCCCCTGAATGGCATCCAGAAGGGTGTGAAACTCCGCAAGCTGCTTCGTGAAGGCTTGAGCGTTTGCTTGATGACCCCACAGCACTGGCGCCACCTGGTGGGTGGGTGGGGCATGACATTAGGTGTGGTTCATGAAGGCTTGAGCGTTCGTTTGATGACCCCACAGCACTGGTGCCACCTGAAAGGTGGGGGGGGTTGAGGGTTCACAATACGTTTTTAATGCTCCACCCGCTGTGGTGCTGACTGGAAAGCATTTAGGCGGGAGGAGGGGTGGTGGTAGCAACTAGAAGGTGGACGGAGGAGTGATATCACAGAAGGCTGTGAGACGCCTTAAGCTGCCTGATCAAGGACTGTACTCCCCCCCTCCCCCCCGCTGATCCGACAGAATGGTGGGCACCTGGTGGGAGTGTTGGTTGGGAGCCGAGCATGGCGATGCCGCTTGGCTGGTTGCATGGGTCACTCACCTTGGCTCACTCACCTTGGCTCACTCACCTTGGCTCACTCACCTTGGCTCACTCACCTTGGCTCACTCACCTTGGCTCACTCACCTTGGCTCACTCACCTGGCTCACTCACCTTGGCTCACTCACCTTGGCTCACTCACCTTGGCTCACTCACCTTGGCTCACTCACCTTGGCTCACTCACCTTGGCTCACCCACCTTGGCTCACCCACCTTGGCTCACTCACCTTGGCTCACCCACCTTAGCTCACTCACCTTGGCTCACTCACCTTGGCTCACTCACCTTGGCTCACTCACCTTGGCTCACCCACCTTGGCTCACCCACCTTGGCTCACTCACCTTGGCTCACCCACCTTGGCTCACTCACCAAAAGTCAGATTCACTCACCCTGTCCGTTACACACAATGTACTCACCTTGGCTCACTCACCTTGTCCCTGATGCACCGAGTGTACATGTCTCGATGTCTCAACAGCTCCTTTGCAACCTCGTTCAACCAAGCCTGCCCAAGAACCTCCGTCACGCGCGGTTCGTCATGCCTGTCAGTCGCTCACAGACACCAAAAAACACGCATGAGAGAGCACATTGGAAAGCCCTTCGTCCAAAAGCTCCTTCGCGGTCTCGTTCAACCAGGCCTGCCCAAGAACCTCCTTCACGTGTGGCTCGTCATGCCTGTCAGTCACTCACAGACACATCAAACACGCGTAAGAAGAAAGGTGCATTTTGAGTCGACTCAGAATTCACGTGCTGCTGCTGGTCATGCCTGTCAGTGACTCACAGACAATGTAGCATGCATGAGAGAGCACTTTGAAAAGCACTTTGAGATAATTTTGTAGGCGCCTAGTTTTGGGGCGCCTCAAAACTAGACGCCTCAAAAGTATGTGTCTCACTAACAAGAGCAATGCCTGTCAGTCGCTCACAGACATTGAAGAACGCATGAGAGAGCACAATGGAGAGCACTTCAATATGCGTACATTTAAATGCACATTCAAATGCACATTCAAATGCACATTCAAATGCACATTCAAATGCACATTCAAATGCACATTCAATTGCACATTCAATTGCACATTCAAATGCACATTCAATTGCACATTCAAATGCACATTCAAATGCACATTCAAATGCACATTCAATTGCACATTCAAATGCACATTCAAATGCAAATTCAAATGCACATTCAAATGCACATTCAATTGCACATTCAAATGCACATTCAAATGCACATTCAAATGCACATTCAATTGCACATTCAATTGCACATTCAAATGCACATTCAAATGCACATTCAAATGCACATTCAATTGCACATTCAAATGCACATTCAAATGCACATTCAATTGCACACAAGAAATGTGCTGCAACCCCCACTGACTCACTCCGCCACCTTGTGCAGCATGTAAGCACAGTTGTTGAGTAGAAAGAATGCTCGCATGCCCTCATCGCAATACAACGCGTCTCCCATGCGCTCCAGATTCGGCTTCAGAGCCGCCAGCAGCAGCTGTGATGCCACCCCCACCCGTGCCACCCCCACCTCCTCGTCTCCCTCTTCTCCTCCATACACCAGCAGCAGCGTGCTTAGGTACAGGGACCTGGCGAGGTTGGGGGATGGGGGGTGAAATTGACCGGGTAGCTGGTGAGAGGAAGCACCTCACAACCCTCTCGCTATGCTCACCTTACAGTCCATGTTCACGCACTCATGCACTCACACACTCACACACTCACGCACTCAGGTATTGAGGCACTCACGGGTCCAAGCAGAGGATGACGAAGTTGACCAGGTAGCTCGTGAGAGGAAGCACTTCACAACGCTCCCTATGCTTACCTTACATTTTAGGATCTCAGGAACTCGGGCACTCAGGCATTCAGGCACTCGGGCACTCACGGGTCCAAGCAGAGGATGACGAAATTGACCAGGTAGCTCGTGAGAGGAAGCACATCCGGACTGGCTTTAAGAGCATTCAGAGCATCCCGGCTTTCCCGCGTCGGAGAGAGATCAAACAGAGGAGGGGGGGGGATGAGGGAGGTGGAGGAGGAGGAAGAGGAGCGGGAGGGGGAGGAGGGGAGGTTGCGGGGTTGTTGTGCTGGGGAGGGAGGGGTGGTGAGGGGTTGTGTGGGGTTGAAATGTACTCTGAGTTGGAAGTCAGAGATGGTCCGACGCACGGCGGTGCAGAGGGAGGAGCAGATGAGGAGGAAGAGACGCCGCACCTCTGCCCCTGCTTCTCCAGGGAACTGCTTCTCTACCTGCCGTGGAAAGGGGTAGGAGGTGGGGGAGGAGGAGATGAGGTGGAAGTCAGAGATGGTCCGATGCACAGCGGTGCAGAGGGAGGAGCAGAGGAGGAGGAAGAGACGCCGCACCTCCTGCCCTGCCTCCCCCGGAAATTGTTTCTCTACCTGCCAAGGAAAGGGGTAGGGGGAATGGGGGGTGGTGCAGATGAGGAGGAAGAGACGTCGCACTTCTTGCCCTGCCTCCCCCTGGGAATGGCTTCTCCACCTGCCTAAAGGGAAATACAACATTGGGTATGGTGAGGTATGGTGAGGTATGGTGAGGTATGGTGAGGTGTGGAGAGGTATGGAGATATAGAGAGGTTGGGAGGAGCAGATGAGGAGGAAGAGGCGCCGCACCTCTTGCCCTGACTCTGCCGCGTTACATGTCAAACGGGAAATGCGACAATTGGTGAGGTATGGTGGGGTATGGTGAGGTATGGTGGGGTATCGTGAGGTATCGTGAGGTATGGTGCGGTATGGTGTGTTATGGTGCGGAACAGCGAGGTATAGTGAGGTATGGAAGCTACCCACCCACCCACCCACCCATCCACACACCCAACCATCCACCCACCCAACCACCACTCCACCCACCCGCCCACCCTCCCCTCCCCCCACTCACCGTTGGTCGCAGTGTCAGCAGTGCCTGCACCACATGCAGCAGCGGGAACAGGTGCTGCGGTTCCCAACACAACCCCGCTACCACGCAGCCAAAGGAGTGCAGCAGCGTCAGAGAGGGCAGCACCACGCCTGCAAGGCACCGCGCTCGAGCGTTGTTGGAAGACGGTTGATTCTGCCCGATAATGGCCCGGAACAGCTCTGTCTCTGGACCAACCAGAACCAGCACCTGTCAGGACGACAAGGTGAGCCAGATGGGGAGGGTAATATCTGAGTCGACTCAAATTAAGTGAGCCAGATGGAGAGGGTAGTTTCTGAATCTACCACATGCAGGCAACAGGAGGTCTTTGTTTCCGCCTTTTTGGTGGCAAATGACAAAGGTAATTCTTGTTTTTCTTATGTAAATATGTATATCTATGTATGTATGTATGTATGTATGTATGTATGTATGTATGTATGTATGTATGTATGTATGTATGTATGTATGTATGTATGTATGTATGTATGTATGTATGTATGTATGTATGTATGTATGTATGTATGTATGTATGTATGTATGTATGCATGCATGCATGCATGCATCCATTGTCTTTGAGGCGCCTCAGAACGAGCCTCAAAACCCACAATATGGGTTTTGAGACGTGTCAAAATCAGAACCCACGTTATGCACCCATAGCTTCAAGAGGGGATCTCGTTCCTCCCATGCCAGCGCTGCCACTTCATCGGGTCCCAACGCTGCTGTGCTGCCACTTAGTCGCGTGATGCACTGCAGGAGAGCAGCCGCGCGATGTTGCCTGAGGGTGGGAGAGTGAGGGGAGAAGGTTGGGGGGAGGAGAGGGGGTGAAGGTGAGGGGAATTGTTACTTGTGTTGCCACCTCATCGGATCCCAACGCTGCTGTGCTGCCACTTAGTCGCGTGACGCACAGCAGGAGAGCAGCCGCGCGGTGCTACCTGTGGGGGAGACGAGGGAGGGGAGAGGGAGATGAGGGGAGGGGTTGAAGAAAACAATCAAATCTTACTCATGCAATGAAGCATAATCGAATCTTACTCATGCAATGAAGCATAATCGAATCTTACTCATGCAATGAAGCATAATCGAATCTTACTCATGCAATGAAGCATAATCGAATCTTACTCATGCAATGAAGCATAATCGAATCTTACTCATGCAATGAAGCATAATCGAATCTTACTCATACAATGAAGCATAATCGAATCTTACTCATACAATGAAGCATAATTGAATCTTACTCATGCAATGAAGCATAATCGAATCTTACTCATACAATGAAGCATAATCGAATCTTACTCATGCAATGAAGCATAATCGAATCTTACTCATGCAATGAAGCATAATCGAATCTTACTCATGCAATGAAGCATAATCGAATCTTACTCATGCAATGAAGCATAATCGAATCTTACTCATACAATGAAGCATAATCGAATCTTACTCATGCAATGAAGCATAATCAAATCTTACTCATGCAATGAAGCATAATCGAATCTTACTCATGCAATGAAGCATAATCGAATCTTACTCATGCAATGAAGCATAATCGAATCTTACTCATGCAATGAAGCATAATCGAATCTTACTCATACAATGAAGCATAATCGAATCTTACTCATACAATGAAGCATAATCGAATCTTACTCATGCAATGAAGCATAATCGAATCTTACTCATACAATGAAGCATAATCGAATCTTACTCATGCAATGAAGCATGATCGAATCTTACTCATGCAATGAAGCATAATCGAATCTTACTCATGCAATGAAGCATAATCGAATCTTACTCATGCAATGAAGCATAATCGAATCTTACTCATGCAATGAAGCATAATCGAATCTTACTCATGCAATGAAGCATAATCGAATCTTACTCATGCAATGAAGCATAATCGAATCTTACTCATACAATGAAGCATAATCAAATCTTACTCATGCAATGAAGCATAATCGAATCTTACTCATGCAATGAAGCATAATCAAATCTTACTCATGCAATGAAGCATAATCGAATCTTACTCATGCAATGAAGCATAATCAAATCTTACACATTCTTTGAAGGACAATCAGATCTTACTCGTACAGTGAAGGGCAATGGCATCGTGGAGGGCAATCGAATCGTGGAGGGCAATCGAATCGTGAAGGGCGATCGAATCGTGAAGGGCAATCGAATCGTGGAGGGCAATCGAATCGTGAAGGGCAATCGAATCGTGGAGGGCAATCGAATCGTGCAGGGCAATCGAATCGTGGAGGGCAATCGAATCGTGGAGGGCAATCGAATCGTGCAGGGCAATCGAATTGTGGGTTTAGGGTCAATCGAATTGTGGGTTTAGGGTCAATCGAATTGTGGGTTTAGGGTCAATCGAATTGTGGGTTTAGGGTCAATCAAATTGTGGGTTTAGGGTCAATCGAATTGTGGGTTTAGGGTCAATCGAATTGTGGGTTTAGGGTCAATCGAATTGTGGGTTTAGGGTCAATCGAATTGTGGGTTTAGGGTCAATCGAATCTTACTCGTACAGCGAGAGGCACGCGGACTCATATCCATTGCCCAGCATCCAAGCAGCCATGGGCCGAAGCTGCGTCACAGCCTCGGACCGAAGCAGAGGCACGGACGGCAGCACCTCACCAGGCATCTTGCCTGCGGCTGATTGGAGCAAATATTCCCGATCCGGTATTGTGCTGTGGGTGGGGAGGAGAGGAAGGTGGGGTGGGGTTGGAGGGGTTTCAAGGAGTGTCAGCAAAAGAAGCAGATACCCCGATTGGGTATTATGCTGTGGGTGGGGAGGAGAGGCAGGTGGGGTGGGGTTCGAGGAATAGAAGAAAATCAACAAACACGCAGAGGCGTAGCCTTTCTCTCAGACCCATCTTGCACCGAGAAAAAAACTCCCGCAGGCCACCTTTCACCGCACTGCACCTCCCCCAGCCCACCTTTCACCAAACTGCACCTCCCTTGGCCCACCTTCCACCGCACAGCACCTCCCCAAACTCCTCTCCCAGTCGCCCCACAGCAACGTCCATGAGCGCTCGTCCCTGCCGCAGCTCAAATCGGCAGCTTCCCAGATAATCGTGCGCTTCGAAGAACCGCAGCGCGTCGGATAGCTTATCGAGTGTCTTCAGGTACGCGCCTATGCGGTTCTTAGGGCCGAGTTCGAGGTCTGGCCCCACCTGATTGGTCGGGACGGAGGGGGGAGACAAAGAAAGGTGTGAAATAATATATCTGCCGTGAATTCCCCCAGAACCGCTCAGCAGGAACCTAAAAAACTTGTATATATAATTAGCTGATTGCACTGTTGGTGCCAAAAAAAGCGTACCAATGTGGGCGTGTCAAGCTTTTCTAGAAGCAATCGTGGGTCTTGTTTAGCCACATTCCTGACGAAACCCCTGTTACCAGCACCGCCCGTTTCGCTATCCGTTCCGGCCATCGCCACACTTTCCCCGCGCCACCCGTCAGCGCCATCATCATTGCGGGTGCGCAACATACCTGCTCCCGCAGCAACGGCGGTGAACCCGCTGTGATACTACATAAGAGCGGACATCGAGCAGAAATAAGGCGGGAAAATCACACAAATCAAGTTCGGACGGCACTAGCCTTAGCTGTCGTCTAATTTGAGTTTATTATGGATGATGGACCAGTTGAATGGGAATGACTGGCTGCGTGTTGTGAGCATTTCAACAAAGAATGGTTTCAGTTACAAATGTTACACAGGTGCAAGTGTGTAGCGCTCGAACTTTCTCTGTGTGCTACAGAGTGCTCTGACCAGCCGTAAAACAGCGGAGTTCATGGGGATTGACAGCAGGGTGCCAGCTGGCGAAGAACGACAGGCGAATGTTCGTGCGACGTCGCCAGAGTCCCATTGAGCCGAAGCTGCCAGCTGGTTTGAACCTTGCGAACGCGTCATTGACGTTTCGTTGATCAGGCGAGCTGTCGGTGCAGTCGGTGCTCCGATATTACCGTATCGATTCTTTCTATATTCTAAACTGTACACCATAAACCCGAAACCCTGAATTCCTAACGCCGTATCTCTTACCGAGTATTTATACACTCGTTTGTATTTATACGCCGTATCTCCCCCACTGCCTGCAGATCCACGTGCACATTCGCACAGATGCGAGGTTCTGCATGTGTGCGACTTTTGAACCTGATGATTGTGATTCTCTCTGGATGTGTTCAGGTCAGGTGATTGCTCACGCCGAGCGCAACAACAGAAAGAATACGGAAGGAATTTCAGATTCCATGCGGTGAAGTGCGTTCTCTGGCGTGACAGAGTGCAAATGTCTTGTTTGGGTTCGGTTTGGTGCTGCGAGACCACTACAGTACAGTAAACATCTTTGGACACGCTGACGGAGAGACAGTTACAAACCGTCTACAGTCCACCTGTACAGTTGTATAAGCAGTGCATACACCTGTGCAGAACAGGGTGGCCATCAGCAGCAGCATCGACACCATGGAAACGAAACTACCGAAGTTGTTGGATTTCTGCAATAGATCATCACGATGCCGAGACGAGAGGCAGCTGGAATCCTCTGGAAGCGCCTGGATTGCCTCCGTGACGAGATCTGAGGTTCTTGACTTCCCCTCCCACAATCGCCGGTCGCTGGCATAGGTCCCACGGGGCGATGCGAACGAGAATGCTGGTCGTTCCTTTCCTCTACCCTATACGAGAATGCTGGCATAAGTCATTGCGGCCCAACCCCGCTCCGCATTAGTTGTTCCTTCCGGCTTCATTTTCGGTGGTGTCAGTCGGCTCAGCTGACCGCGCTAAGTTTCCGCCATGGGCGCGTTTCTTGGTCGGCATCGGCCGATCAGAGCCGACGGCAAAGTCGTGCTCATAACGGGGTGTTCCGAGGGCGGTATCGGTTACGCAATGGCAGTGTAAGCGTCTCGGAACTGCTTGCGCCACGCGTGCCACCTACTATGCCAGCTGCAAAGATGCGTTGGTCAACGTCCTTGCGGCAAAAAAAAAAACAACAAAAAAACAACAAAAAAAGAACGCGAGAATTAATTCTTATGTCGTAACCCGTTGGTAGTAGAAGTGAAGCTTCAATCCAAGCTTCTCATGACTTGGACAGTCGTTTTTGCCAAATCAGGGGACTGAACCAAGACGAAAACCGTGATTGGGTATTGAATTGCATTATGAATCTCTAGCGTACTCTCGTCTTTAGGCGCCTCCTTTATTCTTATTTGTTTAGATCGTGTGATAGATTGCCAATACGGTGAGGCCTGATTAAAGTCGTGATTGCGTGTTGAATGCTGATGAATCCTGGGGAGTAGCACGCCCGACGTCACCTCTTGAACTCTCATGAGCTCTGATTGGTCATGAATTGTATGACTCATCGGATGAATCACAGGGAGTACGCCCGCCGAGGAGCCATGGTGTACGCTACTGCGCGCCGATTGGAGGCCATGCGAGGGTTACAGGAGCAGGGGGTGACTATATTGAAGCTGGATGTGACAAACGAGGGAGATATTCAGGTACTAAGTTGTTCACTGTTGAGTGAGACTTTATGAATGCTGCGTTGATAGATGACTAATTTGAGTCGGGCCATGTACCATCCCATACCATTCTAGGGCTCCATTAAATTTGCCTGATAGTATCCTCCCATTAGTTCCTGCTTATGCACACCGTTTTCTCTGCTCAATCTCAGCTCCTGCCAGCACGCAGTTCAGACAAACATGAGGGAAGTTGGACAAAAATATCTTTGAGTCGACTCCAAAATCACCTTCCGTTTTCTCTGTTCAATCCTCCCAACCTCTGACAGTACGCAGTTGAGACGATCATGAGGGAAGCCGGGCGAATAGATGTGCTCGTCAACAATGCTGCTGTCTTTGCCACGCGTCCCTTGGCTGACACGCCGCTCCCCGATTGGCGCGCGCTGTTCGAAACAAACCTGCTCGGAGCTGTTGCGATGGCCCAGGCCGTGTTGCCACACATGGCTGAAAGGAAACAAGGACTTATTATTAACGTCTCCAGCTGCGCGAGTTTCTGCCACTTGTGAGTCTCGTTTTGGCGAGGAAGGACTGGGCAGATGATAGCTAAGTTTTCTCATGTGCTTGTGAGGTCCGAAATTGGGGTGTCGTGCCGTGCCATGCACTGCATCGGTTAAACCCTGTGCGAAGCCGCAGTCTTTGAAGTTCTCCACCATCCCCACACTCATACTATTCCCTTTGTCCCTCCCTCTCCTCCTCCCTTCCCCTCCCACCCGTTCCTTCCCCTCTCCCCTCCTGTCCCTCCCCTCCTGGTGCTCCCATCACAGGCCCATGGCAGCAGCCTATTCGGCCTCAAAGGCAGCGTTGAACGCAGTGACCAACTGCATGCGCATGGAGATGAAGACCTTCGGAGTGCGTGTCATGCTGGCGGTTCCGGGATTCATCAACACCAAAATACACAGGTGATACATCCAGGGAGGGCAGGTCATGAACTTTGGATGGTTGGGGTACATCAGTTGGTGTAGCTTTTTCCTCGCTTTTATGTGTTTTTTTTTTTTTTGCAGAGTTGCTGCAGTGACGTTCTCTCAGCTCTGGCACTGGTCCCGGTGTCACCCTGAAATAAACCTTCCCATGCATTCTTCCGTTGTATTTTCGCCATACCGTATGTCCCACATGCCCTGCTTTCTACTCACCTCAGCAATGAGCAGCACAACAGGAAACCATTGCCATCCAACAGCTTGTACAAGTCATGCGAGAGTCGGCTTAACCACCTCGCCGAGTGGGCATTAACCAACTTTGTAGGGACAAGTGCAGAAGATTTTGCGAAGGCTACAGTAGATGTCTCAGTGAAACGTGACCCTCCCTGGCGCTTCTTAATGGGGGCTGGATGGAGGCAGGCAATGTATGGCGTATGGTTTTTGCCAACATCAGTTGTTGACATGGAATTGTGGAAACCCTATCAGACTTGTCTTGAGGGTCCATGAATTTCCTTTTAGTGCATTTGGTTTGTTGTACAACCTTGCAAGTGTTCAGGTGTGATTGCACCTCCAAATAGCGTAGAATTGGTAACGAACTGTAGTAAGCCGTAGGATTCTCCTGTTTTCCTTGAAACGCGTCTGTACTGGATCTGGGGCTCAGCACTCCCACCGCTTTACATGCATATCTCGGTTCTTCTCGGTTTATGTCGATTATACACGCTGTGTGCTCGGGGAGAAATCTAGGTTGGATTGGATGATTTCAAGGCCAACAGGAAAACAGCAGGAGCAGGGGATCTGCGTCTTTCCTATTTGACCAGGATTCTTCTCAGATGTCAGATTCTAGTGTTCCGGCATGTGCTAGTGGCGCTTAGTAGCAGGTTCTAGAGTCTGACCTTAGCTCGTATCCGTCTCGTAGGGAGATTGACCAGAGTGTCTGCTGTTTGTGGTGTTTTTTTCCAGTCATCGCAGTAGAGGTTCGTAACAATCTTTGAAGCAGACGGGTTCGATCTTGTGAGGGAAGCACCTGTGTCCATGATGATCGAAATGCCAGCAGCCGCGTCGGATTGACGGGTTTAGTGCGATGACGATGCGACTCCCAGCATTTTCCCCGAGCATCACTATTTGTGCACTACAGACACTAAAATTCTGCGTCATTTTCCCTTTCTATGCAGACGTTTAAGAACGAATCAGGAGTCCTGGAAGCCAGATCGTGCGTCTGTATCTGACGCATCAGCCTCATCACCTGTCTGTATCTGACATAGATTCATTACTATCACGCTTGGTTAGGCAGCATTTCTCATAATATTGGCCAGGTGACTCACCTCCTCGAAATTCTGTCACTCCTCTGAGAATCTCTCATTACCTTCAGAATCTTTCATACCCGTGCAAGACTTTACCATCATGTACGCGCAAGGGTCACCGGGGTATCACACCCCGTACACGTCCCCCTATGCTTCCCCCTACACCTCCCCCGCCATGGGGGGGCAGCTTCCGCGTCGGCCGATCCCCATGCCTTCCGGTTCCGCGCCCGCCACCCCCTCTTCCGGGGACGCGCGGCTCGCCGCATCTCACGGCTTCCAGTACAACGCGCGCGTCGCCACGGCGCTGCTGCCGTGCGTGCTCGTGCTTCTAGGCGCCGGCGGACCGCTCGTTGTAGGCACACTCGTCGCGGGGCTCATGATCTCCTACATCCTCGACGCGCTCCAGTTCAAAAACGGCGCTTTTGTCGCCATCTGGTGCACCTTCTTCACCACGGCGGCCGCGCTCGCGTTCTCCGGCCTCGGCTTCGCGCCGCACATCCCCGTTATAATCTCCGTGTTGATCCTCCTCACGGCGATGCACCTCGTGTTCTTCTGCGGCGTCTGGGTATCCCTTCAATTCCGCTGGCTGCAACTCGAGCATCCGTTTGTAGTCCTCGCGTTAGAGCGACTCCTGTTCGCATGCACGCCCATGACAGCCATCGCTATAATCACATACGGGCTCATCGCCGCGATCGGCGCGGCCCACGCGCCGTTCTACCTCATGCCGTGCCTGTTCGCGCTCTATTGGCTCTTCTCCCTCCCGCGCGCCTCCTCCTTCAAATCCTCCAAGCACACGCTACAGCAGCAGCAGCAGCAGCAGCAGCAGGCCAGGCACGGAGGCAAAGAATCCTCCCAGGATGTGTGGATCATCGGAGCGATGGAGGGGTTGTTTCACATGATGCTCGTGCTGTTCCTGCCGTGCGGGTTCCACCTGGCGGTGCATCATAATAGGATCTTTGAGTCGGCGAATGAAGCGTGCGACACGCTGCTGCTCTTCTTCGTGCCCGTGCTCTTCGTGCTGTACGCGTCGAGGAAGGGCGCGCTCAATTGGCTCACGACTGATAAGGCCAAGCTCAAACGGGTGAGTGGATTCGATAAAGGAACGCCTTGTAACGGGTATGTGGTGCGCTGCTGCTCTTCTTTGTGCCCGTGCTCTTCGTGCTGTACGCGTCCACGAGGGGGGCGCTGGATTGGCTCACGACTGACAAGACCAAGCGCAAACGGGTGAGTGGATTCGTTATAGAGACACCTTATAACGGGGATGTGGTGCGCTGCTGCTCTTCTTCGTGCCCGTGCTCTTCGTGCTGTAGGCGTCGACAAGGGGGTCATTGGTTTGGCTCACGACTGACAAGGCGAAGCTCAAACGATACGGGTATGTGGAATCGATATAGACACACCTTATAAGGAGGTGGGTGATGCTGGTGCTGGTTCTTCTTCTCCTTCCGCCCACCTCCCGCACCTCCCCCACCCACCCATCCCGTGCCCCCCAACTCCCCCCCTTGCCCCCAACAGGTGCAAGTGCTCAACGGGGGGTTCTCCCTGGCGGTCGTGCTCATCTGCTTCGAGATCCGCGTCATCTTCACCTCCTACGGCCACTACATTCACTTCCCGCCACCCATCAATCCTCTGCTCCCACTCCCTCCTTTTCACTTCCTGCCTCCCTCCTCCCTCCGCCCTCTCCCCCCATTCCAATTCCCCCTTTCCGCTTCTCTCCTTCCACTTTCCCCCTTCCACTTCCCCCTTACCCCCCACACCCCTGCCCCCCCAACCCCCTCTCCAACAGGTGCAAGTGCTCAACGGGGGGTTTTCCCTGGCAGTCGTGCTCATCTGCTTCGAGATCCGCGTCATCTTCACCTCCTACGGCCACTACATTCACTTCCCGCCGCCCCTCAACTACCTGCTCGTCACGCTCGCGCTCTTTGGCCTCGGATTCGGCTTCGCCGCGCACATGATGGGCGTGCTGAGGGGTGCAGTGGGGTCCGCAGTGGTGACGACCGTGCTGCTGGTGTCTGCTGTGGCGGGATCGCTGGTCATTGGCATGCCTGTCACGGTAAGGCTCTGAGTGGGGGGAAGAAGGGACACGGTAAGCCCTTTGGGAGGGGGGTAACTGGGGAGTGGGAGAGAGGAAAGCAGTGGTCTCCTTTATCGTTGCCATTCCCTCCATGCCAGGTGCTCCCCGCCCCAGCCATAGCAGCAGCTTACCTCGCCCATTACTACACCACGGGCAGCATCACCTCCTACTTCATCTTTGCACCTTACGTACAGCCTCCCTTTTCCCCTCTGTCCCCTCTGCATCTCTTACCCCTCTGCCTCCCTGTTTTCTGGACCCCCATCTCAGGTGCTCCCCGCCCCAGCCATAGCAGCCGCCTACCTCGCCCATTACTACACCACGGGCAGCATCACCTCCTACTTCATCTTTGCAGCAGCTTCGTTACTAGCAGCAGCGTGGTTCGTTATGGACCAGTACTTCGCCCTCGCTATAGTCTTCGCAGGGATGACCCTCAAGGCCATCTGCCAGCAGCTGCTACTCGCGCTCCTCCTGGCTCTGCTCGTCCCCGGAGCAGCCCTCTTCCAGAAGTCACAGCGGGTGGTGGGGGTCATCGTGGTGGCTCAGGCATTCCTGTTCTCCGGGTAAGCTCAACTGAGTTCTCAACTGCCCTGCGAACACTTGTCTTTGAGCTCTCAACTGTTGGGGCCCTCTGCCAGCGGAGCTTCCTTGCCCTGCTGCTCGCTCTCCTCGTCCCGGGAGCAGCGCTCTTTCAGAAGTCGCAGCGGGTGGTGGGGTCATCATGGTGGCTCAGGCATTCCTGTTGTCCAGATGAGTGTTCTGGGGGTGTTCTGGGGGTGGTTGTGTTCTGGGTGTGGTTGTGTTCTGGGGGTGTGGGGTGGGGTGGTAATTCGAGTCGACTCAAAAGTCTCCTGTTGTCCAGATGAGTGTTCTGAGGGGGTGGTTGTGCTCTGGGGGTGTGGTGTGGTGTGGGGTGAGGTGGGGTGGGGTGGGGTGCTAGGATCCGGGATGCGCTTATAGCGGACCACGAATAAAGCGCCGTCAGAATTGGGATGGCGTGGGGTGCATCTGGGGTGGTGTGGGGTGGGGTGGTAGGATCCGGGACGACTGAAAAGGTGATGAGCAGAGCAGTTAAACGGAAAGAGCCATGCAGAGAATGTGCCTCGACCTGACTTCGTACTTACCTCGCTCTACCCACCCGCCCTCCTCCCTTTTTTTCCTTTTCCCCCTCTCTCCTGCCGTCAGGCTGGAGTTTCTGCTGTACAACGGGAGGCCCATGTGGAGGGGGGCGTGTACCCCGCCTTCCTAGTGCTCTCTTCATCACGCTCTCTTGCTGTTTACCCTCCCCCTGCCCGCTGTTTACCCTCACCCTCTTCCCTCCCGTTCTCTCACCCCCCGTTCTTCCCCCCAACCTGCTCATCCGCAGGCTGGAGTTTCTGCTGTACAACGGGGAGGCACATGCGGAGGGGGGCGTGTATCCCGCCTTCCTAGTGCTCGCAACCACGGTGGCCGGGTTTGTCGCGATGCGGAAGCTCAGTTTGTCCCTTCCTCCTCCTCACCCTTCACATCTACAGGCTGGAGTTTCTGCTGTACAACGGAGAGGCTCACGCGGAGGGGGGCGTGTACCCCGCATTCCTGGTGCTCGCAACCACGGTGGCCGGGTTTGTCGCGATGCGGAAGCTGCGGATCGCAGGGAAGATTGGAGGGGTGGCGGAGTGGGTGGGCGTGTGTCTGTACCTCGCGAAGCTGCCCATGCTCGTGGTGCACTCGCAGGGCGTGCTGCTTGGTAGCCAGTTGCTGCTGCTCGCCATATCACCACCCTTCTTCCTTTACCAGTAAGTGAGCAGCGAGCCTCTCACACAGTGGTTGAGTGGGTGGGCGTGTGTCTGTACCTCGAGAAGCTGCCCATGCTGGTGTTGCATGTCCAGGGCGTGCTGCTTGGCAGTCAGCTGCTGCTTCTTGCAATCTCGCCTCCATTCTTCCTCTACCAGTGAGTGGGATTGTGGTTGAGAGAGAGAGAGAGAGAGTGGTTGAGTGGGTGGGCGTGTGTCTGTGCCTGTCAAGAGGGAGGGGGTGGGTGGGTGTGTGTCTGTATCTCGAGAAGCTGCCCATGCTCGTGGTGCACTCGCAGGGGGTGCTGCTTGGCAGCCAGCTGCTGCTTCTTGCCATCTCACCGCCCTCCTTCCTCTACCAGTAATGTATGCTCCTGTATTACTCCCACCCCCATTCCCCCCCCTCACTCTCACAGGGACAAGGCTCGCCCCGGGTCGCGCATGAAGCCATGGATGGCAGTGATGCATGGGCGCTCGTGCTCCTCACAGTGCTCTTCTGCCGCTACGTCATCTTCGATGTATGCTCCTGTATTCCTCCCACCCCCACACCCCTCCCCCCACACACTGCAGGGACAAAGCTCGCCCCGGGTCGCGCATGAAGCCATGGATGGGAGTGATGCACGCGGCCCTGGTGCTCCTCACAGTGCTCTTCTGCCGCTACGTCATCTTTGACGTCATCGTCTCTGCCTCGGGTCACAAGCCCTCCCACGCGCTACTCATCGGCTCGCTGGGTCTCATCACCATAGCCGGCTGTCTGCCTATAGTGGCCCTCCACTTCCCCAACAGCCTCGTGAGTGCTCTGAGCTGTGTGCTCAGTGCTGCTGTGTATTGTGAGTATATGTATGAATATGTGTCATCGTCTCTGCATCGGATCACAAGCCTTCCCATGCGCTACTCATCGGCTCGCTGGGTCTCATCACCATAGCCGGCTGCCTGCCCATCGTCGCCCTCCACTTCCCCAACAGCCTCGTGAGTGCTTGTGCCCCCTCAAAGCCCCCCCCCTCCCCCCCCCCTCCCCCCCCTGAGCTGCGCGCTTGAAGCTGTGCTTTTACTTCTATTTGCCTCCTCAATAGGCTGTCTGCCCATTCTCGCGCTGCAGCCGCCATTCCCCCCCGCGTGGCACGTGGTGTGGGACGAGGACCACTTCCCTGACGACCACCCTCTCTCTCTTGCGCACCGCACCCCTCATTCCCCACACTCCACTCACTATGGCAGAAAGAAAGGAGGGCGGCAGCACTGGCAGTGGCAACGTGTCTGCTCTTCCTAGTTCTGCAGCCGCCTCTCCCCCCCGTGTGGCACGTGGTGTGGCACGTGGTGTGGCACGTGGTGTGGCACGAGGACCACTTCCCTGACCACCACCCTCTCTCTCCTGCACCCCTTCACTCCCCACATCCCCACACTCCACTCACTATGGCAGTAAGCAAGGAGGGCGGCAGCACTGGCAGTGGCAGCGTGTCTGCTCTTCCTAGTTCTGCAGCCGCCGCTGCCCCCCAGCGTGGCACGTGGTTTGGGATGAGGACCACTTCCCTGACCACCTCCCTGACCCTCTTCCTCCCCCTTCCCCCCTCAATGCTGCAGAAAGCGAGAAGGGCAGCAGCGCTGGCAATAGCAACCTGTCTGCTCTTCCTCGTCCTGCAGCCACCTCTCCCCCCCGCATGGCACGTGGTGTGGGATGAGGACCACTTCCCTGACGACGATCCAGACGACTCCACCATCTATGGGCTCAGCGTGGAGGGCCCTGTCTGGCCCGTGTGGCTGCTGCTGGGGACCATTGTATCTGCCCTGGCAGCATTCTTCTCTGCTATCCCCATCGCCAAGGTGAGTGTTTCATGGGAGGACAGATAGGGGGTAGTAAGGGAGTGTCCTGAACGACGATCCAGACGACTCCACCATCTATGGGCTGAGCATCGAGGGGCCTGTCTGGCCCGTGTGGCTGCTGCTGGGGACCATTGTATCAGCTCTGGCTGCTTTCTTCTCGGCCATTCCAATCGCCAAGGTGAGTGTGGTGTGGTGTGGTGTGGGTGGCCTGGCTGGCCGGGAAAGGGGGAGTAAGGGAGTGTTCCGTGAAAGGCGATCCAGACGACTCCACCATCTATGGGCTCAGCGTGGAGGGCCCTGTCTGGCCAGTGTGGCTTCTCCTGGGAACAATCGTGTCCGCACTGGCTGCTTTCTTCTCTGCTATCCCCATTGCCAAGGTGAGTATCGGTAGGTTAGTGGGCGGAGAGGGAGGACCATTTCCCTGATGACGATCCAGACGACTCCACCAGGGCTGAGCATCGAGGGGCCTGTCTGGCCTGTGTGGCTGCTTCTGGGGACCATTGTCTCTGCCCTGGCTGCTTTCTTTTCTGCCATTCTGATCGCCAAGGTGAGTGTGGGTGGGCAGAGTGGGCAGAGAGGGAATCATAAGGGGGTGCTGTGACGACGATCCAGACCACTCCACCATCTATGGGCAGAGCGTGGAGGGGCCTGTCTGGCCTGTCTGGCCCGTCTGGCCCGTCTGGCCCGTCTGGCCCGTCTGGCCCGTCTGTCCATCAAATGAATCTCTCAGCCTAGCCTCCATCCTCGTCTCTCTCTCCCCGCCAGCTTTTTCACAATCCTCTTCCTCAGCCTTAATCGCTGCTTCCACCCTTGGAGCGCCACTCTCCCCCCTGCGCCACTCTTCCCCCACCCCCTCTCTTCTCCTCACCTTTCCACCTGCACAGGTGGAGTCAGTTCGGCTCATCTACCCAGTTGCCATCGGCCTATCCACCGGAATCTACCTCGCAGCCAAGTTCATCCCCCTCGCACCCATCCTCACTTGCTTCTCGCTTCTCTTCTTACTTGGCCTCCTCACCCTTCCCCACCTCCCCATTCCGTATGATTCTCTGTTCTTCCCTGCCCCTTACTCCCAGGTCGAGTCCGTTCGTCTCATCTACTCAGTCGCCATCGGCCTATCAACCGGCATCTACCTCGCAGCCAATTTCATCCCCCTCACGCCCATCCTCACTTGCTTCTTGCTCCGCTTCTCACTAGCCTTCTCCCCTCCCCTTCCCCCTCTCCCCCACCCTTCCAACCCGCACAGGTTGAGTCCGTTCGTCTCATCTACTCGGTCGCCATCGGTCTATCTACGGGACTCTACCTCACAGCCAAGTTCATCCCCCTCGCACCTATCCTCTGCCGCCTCCTCCTCCTCGCCGCCTCTGTCCTCGCCGCCCTCTTCCTCGTCCTCACCCACCACCCCACCGCCTGGAGCGGGCGGCTCATGCCGCCCCTCTTCGCCGCCCAGATCCTGCTCTTCCCGCTGCAGTGGTTGGCGCTCGGACGGGCGAATTTGGTGGACAATGGGGATGGGGAAGAGGTTCCGGATTTCTACGAGGAAACACGGCTGGAGGTGAGCAGCGGGGGGACAGGGCAGGGTGGAATGCGGTGGGAAGCGGTGGGAAGGGTAGGATAGTGTAGAGGTGGTGCTGGGGCGGGCGACTTTGGTGGACAATGGGGATGGGGAGGAGGTTCCGGATTTCTACAAGGAAACACGGCTGGAGGTGAGGAGTGGAGGGGTTGGGGTGGGTGTGAACGTGGGGGACGCTTGATGAGAAGTGTTGGGAAGTGGTGGGAAGTGGTGAGAAGTGGTGGGAAGTGGTGGGAAGTGTTGGGAATTGGTGAGAAGTTGTGGGAAGTGGTGAGAAGTGTTGGGAAGTGGTGAGAAGTGGTGAGAAGTGGTGGGAAGTGGTGGGAAGTGGTGAGAAGTGGTGGGAAGTGGTGGGAAGTGTTGGGAATTGGTGAGAAGTGGTGGGAAGTGGTGAGAAGTGTTGGGAAGTGGTGAGAAGTGGTGGGAAGTGGTGAGAAGTGGTGGGAAGTGGTGAGAAGTGGTGGGAAGTGGTGGGAAGTGTTGGGAATTGGTGAGAAGTGGTGGGAGAAGTGTTGGGAAGTGGTGAGAAGTGGTGGGAAGTGGTGAGAAGTGGTGGGAAGTGGTGAGAAGTGGTGGGAAGTGGTGGGAAGTGTTGGGAATTGGTGAGAAGTGGTGGGAAGTGGTGAGAAGTGTTGGGAAGTGGTGAGAAGTGGTGGGAAGTGATGAGAAGTGGTGGGAAGTGGTTGGAAGGATAGAGAATCTTGGTGCAAATGGAAGGTTAGGTGCCTCCCTCTCCCAACCCATTCCCCCAAAGTTTCCCTTTGCAACCAGACCTATGCCAATCTTTTTGCGCTTTCTACTGCACCTTGTGCTGAACCAATCAAAGCATAATATTCTCATCTTAATCCCTGCTCCCTGCTCCCTGCTCCCTGCTCCCTGCTCCCTGCTCCCTGCTCCCTGCTCCCTGCTCCCTGCTCCCTGCTCCCTGCTCCCTGCTCCCTGCTCCCTCTCTTTGCCCCTCCTCCCTTCCCCTCCCCTCCCCCCATGCAGACCTACGCCAACTCCCTCAGCGCCATCTACTGCACCTTCTTCCTCCTTTCCGCCCTCGTCATCAAGTTCAAGCTCTCAGCAGCACTACGGGACAAGCTCGTGGGTGCTGGTGCAGGCAGCGGCCGGGCGGCAGTGGGAGGAGTGGGCGGCGAGGGTTCATCGACCAATGGAGAGTCGGCTCTGCCCAAGAGCTCTCCGTTTGGCCCCAAACACAGAGCCATACAGGTGGGTTGTGAGCGGTTGGGTATGGTAATAGTGGTTTAGGTGGGTTGGTTGTTTATTAAGGTTTTTCAAGCACAGGGCCATACAGGTGCGCTGAAAGTCATACAGACAGGTGCGTTGAGAGCTTTACGGGTGGGTTCAGAGCAGTTGGGTATGGTAGTAACGATTTAGGCTGGGTTGGCTAGTTTGTTAGGTGTTCCCTGGCACATCAGCAGCACCATCCTCGCCCTCCTCCTCGCTCTCCCTCTACAACTACTTATTCTGCTGCTTTTTCTCTTTCACCCTTTTCTCTCCGCTTTCTCCCCGCCCCTGTGTCCCCTGTCCCCTCTTTCCCCCCTCCCCTGCTCCCCCTGTCACCCGCTTTCCCCCCTTGGCTTCCCCCATCCCCATCCAGACGCGCCCTCTGAACCTGCTGGCCTCCTTCTTCTCGCGCAAGGCCTGGATGCCCCTTGTCGGCAACATCAGCACCATCCTGGCGTTCCTCCTCGCACTCCTCCTCTCCTCTGAGTTCGCCACCACAGACAATGCCAACCACACCATCTTCCTGCTCGTCCCCATCCTCCTCCTCCTCAACCAGGACTCCCAAACCCTCGGCTCCTCCTTCACAGACCGCCACCGCTACTTCCCGCTCACTGCCGTGCTCTCAGGCTACCTCCTCTTTACCGATTTCCTCCTGCTCTTTTCCGAGGCCTATTCTGGGATTTACTACTGGGGAACGGAGTGGTTCTCAGAGGATGACGCATTTTTCCAGTGCGCGAAATCGCTCCTCCTGCTGCTCCTCTGCGTGCCGATGCACTACGTGTTTAATCGGTTCATGTGGGATAATAAGCGGCGCGCGGATTACCTGCTGCTCGTGCTGGGTCCGTTGTGCCTGCCTGCTGCCTTGCTGCCGACGGGAGGGGATGAGCTGCCGTCTATAAGGACGGCCGGGTGCCTTGGAGTGGTGTATGCTGTGGTGCAGTATTTGGTTTCTCGGCAGGTTAGAATCGCAGGGATGAAGTTTATCTGACAGGGTAGGTTGGGTGGACCGTTGTGCCTGCCTGCTGCCAATGGGAGGGGATGAACTGCCTTCTATAAGGGGTGCCTTGGGGTGGTGTACGCTGTGGTGCAGTAATTGGTTTCTCGGCAGGTTCGAATCGCAGGGATGAAGTTCATATGACACGGTTCTACAGGGTGTGGTGCGGTTCTGCAGGGTACACTGGGTGCCTTGGAGTGGTGTATCCGGTGGTTCAGTACTTGGTCTCCCGGCACATTAGAATCGCAGGGATGAAGATGATTTAGTGGGGGTCTGCAGGGTACAATACGGTTCTATGGGGCACTTCTTGACCTAGCAGCTGTGTTCACATCTTTTGACTCTTTCAACTCTATTGACTTGTAGGGAATGGACTTGTGTGAAAAATGTAAGGCATGATTGTGGTTTCACAGTTACCTACTCCCTCCTTGGTCATTGTTGGGCTGAGAAATAGCCCTAGGATCTTTCAAGGCTAAGATCTACCGTATTCTCCCGGGCATAGCACCCTAGGGTATAGCTAAAAATACAGGGAAAAAATGGGGGGGGTCTCCTCATAGGAAAAAAATACATAATACTCGGGTCTTTACATATGTCGCCATCTTGAATGTTCAGTCCCAGGTACTGTGTCACGGTAGTCACGACGGTGAGTGTGAGGTCCCGCTGCAGCTCCCCTTCAAACCAGGTCGTTATGGCGTCGGTGGAGCCTATGTAGAGGAGATCGTCTACGTAGACAATGAGTAGGATATAGTCAGTACCCTTCGTAAGTCGGTACATCCCTTGGTCGTGCGGTAGTTGGAGGAATCCGATGCGGATTAGGCGGGCGTGAAGGTGCTGCTGCCACAGTCTCGGGGCTTGTTTGATGCCGTACAGTGATTTTTCCAGCTGACAGACTTGGTTGGGAGCAGCGTTGGACCCGTGCGGGAGTTCGACGAAGATCTCAGCATCGACGGGGGCGTAAAAGAATGCGTTGGCGACATCGATTTGTCGAAGCTTCTTCCGGTTCATGGCGGCTATCGCGAGGAGAATCCGCAACGAGGTATGTCGGCTTACTGTAGCAAATGTTTCTGTGAAGTCTCGTCCTTGCTCTTGGTCGAAGCTACGCACGACCCAGCGTGCCTTGAATTTGTCGATTGTTCCGTCGGCTTTTGTTTTCACGCGGAAAACCCATTTTCCCGTGAAGATGGTTTTGTTGCGTGCCACTCCGATAGGCACGACTTTCCAGGTGTTGCGTTCTTGTAGCGCCTTTAATTCTCTGTCCATGGCTTCGCGCCATTTTTCCCTGTGTTCCCCCCCCCCCCCGAGCCTGCCGAATGTTGGCAGGCTCCTTAGGTGGTGCTGCTCCGTGGACAGCGGTGACGAGTCGTAGTATCTGCAGTCCACTCTGTGTGTAGCGGGGGAGATTTGTGTCCTCCGGATAAGCTGCTTCATCTCCCACTTCTGAATCCGGTAAGAAATCTGGTCCTAAGCGCTCAGAGACGTTGGAGTTGACTGGCTGGGGTGTAGCGTAACCGGTGTCGGCGAAGTCGAAGTAGGTTTCGGCGTTGACACTTTCGCGAGGGTTGTCGTCATCCATTGGGATGGGCACGGAGGAGTATGGGAGTGGTCCTGCTTCCTCGGATGCGTCGTCCACGTTCTGCTCGTCCCAGTCAGCTTCATCTGCTGCTGAATCGAAGGCTCGGTTGCCACGGAAGCCGCCCATGAGGTCTCGATGTGCTGCCAGGTTGTCCAGGTACGTTTGAAGTGTGAGTCGCTCGTAGAAAATGACATCACGTGCTGCTACTGCTTCCTTCGAGTGGACGTCGAAAATCTTCCATGCGTTGTAATGCTTTTCGATGCCCATGTGTAGCCCCCACTGTGCGCGTTGAGAAAGCCTTCCGGCTCTCGCAGTGTGCGGTCGGTACTGTACCATGCACCCGAAAACTCGTAACATTTTTGTGTTGCCCAGTTTTCCTGTCCACAGCAAGTGCGGTGATGCCTTGTTCGGGAGTGATGACGACGAGAGCAAGTTGTGCAGCATGACAGCGTGGTCCATCGCCTCGGGCCACTGGTGATTGGGCAGTCGCATGCCACGTAGTAGTTTGCGCATGGTGTTCTCGAGAGTTCTGTTCATCCGTTCTGCCACGCCTTGCTGTTGATGGGCGTAGGGAAGCGAGATGAGTCGCTTGATGCCTCGTTCTGCGAGGTACTGCCTGAACCTTTGTGACTGATATTCTCCTCCTCCGTCCGACTGGAAGCTTTTTAGTCTTACTCCTGATTCTCGTTCTGCTACAGGTAGCCAGGCGACGAAGGCTTCGAAGGCCATGTCGCGACTTGGGAGGTTGAGGTGCCAAACGTATCTGGTGGCGGCGTCGATGAAAGCAATCACGTAATTATATGCTCCTTGTCCTTGTTCGCAAGTATATAGGATGTCGCTGTATACTTTTTCGAGTGGTGCATAGGCTGGTGCGCTTGGATTGTGGTGAGAGATAAATGGTTGATGAGGTAAGTCGGCTTCGGGGCAGGTAAAGCATGTGCCTCGTACTCGTTGGAGTTCTATGCTGTCGGGTAGAAGGAGTGAGTCTTTGTCGAGTACTGCTGCCTTGATCGTGTTATTTAACGTCGTGTTGCTTGGATGTCCCAGTCTTTCATGCCACAGTGATTCGCTCGCACGATGTCCTGGTGAGCGCTTGTACAGGTCGGAGTTGGAGTAAAAACCCGCGGTGAAGTTGGCGCTTCTGCGAACTTCGCGTGGAGTGGGAGTTAACTGCTGCGCAGGAGTCGGTGGAGTGTCGTTGATGAGAACTGGTGCCGTCGAAGAACTCTCGATTGGTGCCGTAGGTGTTGCTGCTGTTGCTGATGTTGTCTCTGCTGTTGTCGATGTTGTTTCTTATTGTCGGATTGTTGCTAATGCCCTTGTCCTTTCTGCTTCAGGCATGGTATGTGAATACCAGAATCCTCCAGGACTGAAGTCGGGGTCGAGATCGGGTGGATGTGTCCAAGAAGCGAAGTTGACGATGGCGACGCTGTCGGCTGTGCCTTGGTCCGGAACGAAGTCAAGAACGAAGAAGTTATTTTTCAAGACTGCCTTGCCGATGTAGAGGCCGGCCTTTCCGTGGAATAACTTGAACTCCTGAGTGGTGCTGTCTGCTTCGAGGTGAATGCCCTTCGCCATCAGTTGACTGACGCTTAGTAGGTTGTAGCCGAGTCCTTCTGCCATCAAAACTTTAGACATTTGCAAGATGACGTTAGTTTCTCGAGATTGAAGTTGCACTATTCCTTGTCGGCGTGTGTGCAGGTTCTGGTTGTTGGCCACGGTGATGACAACTTCGCGCTGAAGTTGATGTTCTTGTTGAACGAAGCGGCCCGAGGAGCACATGTGCTGTCCGCAGCAACTGTCCAAGAACGAAGTGTCTTGCCTGAACGGCTTGCTCTGGGCGATGGCTGCATACGTCGGGTTGGGTTCGAGTGATTCGCGGCGAGGAGTAAGTTCGTCAAGCTATTCTTCTGGTGAGTAGTGGGGTGGTGATCCGGTGATGCAGGAGTTGTCAAATGTATATGCCTTAGCCTATATAGGCTGTAGTGGGGTAGTTCCTAGAGGGTACAACACTTTTGTGTTCTCTATTTGTACCCACCTCATTTCTAGTTCAATCATTCCTGTTTAATTCTTCACATGGTATAGAGCGGGTTCCCTCATGGGACCGTTCCTTCCTAAGGGCCCACCATAAGCAATTTTTTTTTAGCTGCCCGAAGCGCGTCTCGCGCCCTGCCCTAAATTTTTTTTTGGCGGCCCCCTAGCGGCCCCTAACGGCCCCTACGCGGCCCCTACGCGATCCCTACGCCGCCCATAAACGGCCCCGTCGCGGCCCCGTACCTGACGCGGCCCCGTCCCTGACGCGGCCCCGCCCCTACCCGGCCCCTACGCGACCCCTACGCGGCCCTTACGCGGCCCCTACGCGGCCCCTACGCGGCCCCTACGCGGCCCCTACGCGGCCCCCTACGCGGCCCCTACCCGGCCCCTACGCGGCCCCTACGCGGCCCCTAACCGGCCCCTACGCGGCCCCCTGCGTGGCCCCCTACGCGGCCCCTCAGCGGCCCCTACGCCGCCCCTACACGGCCTGACCCGGCCCCGTCCCTGACGCGGCCCCTACGCGGCCCCTACGCCACCCCTACGCGGCTCCTACGCGGCCCCTAAACGGCCCGACCCGGCCCCGTACCTGACGCGGCCCCTACGCCGCCCCTAAAAGGCCCTGTCCCGGCCCTACCCCGGCCCCGTCTCGGCCCCGTCCCGGACCTGCCCCGGCCTCGACTCCGTCCCGGACCTGCCTTGGCCCCGACCCCGTCCCGGACCTGCCCCGGCCCCGACCCTGTCCCGGCCCTACCTCGGCCCCGTCCCGGACCTGCCCCGGCCCCGACCCCGTCCCGGACCTGCCCCGGCCCCGACCCTGTCCCGGCCCCGTTGCTGCCCCGTCCCGGACCTTGCTCGGCCCCGACCCTGTCCCGGACCTGCCCCGGCCCTGACCCTGTCCCGGCCCTGACCCTGTCCCGGCCCCGTTGCTGCCCCGTCCCAGACCCTGCTCGGCCCCGACCCTGTCCCGGCCCTGTCACGGCCCCGACCCAGTCCCGGACATGTCGGCTCCGCCCCTGGTAAGAGCCTAGCCGGGCCGAGCCGCGCGGCCGAGCCGCACTGCTTTGCCGAGTCGCCCTGCCGAGTCGCATTGTCCTGCCTCGCTCAGTTGCACTGCTGCCGCTGCTAGTCTGCTGCTGCTCCTATCATGGCTAGTCCTAGTCTTCTCACCTTTGATGCTGAGGGTCGAGCGGTTGACTTTGATGTCTGGCTAGATGATCTGCAGCTTTTCCTTCAGTGCGATAGCAAGGATGGTCTCTCCCTGTTTGATCTTACGTCGGGCGCCTCTACTGCCCCTGCTGCTGATGCTGACAGTACCGTTCGCTTGCAGTGGCTCACGCGCGATGCTGCTGCCCGCCTTGCTATGCGTAGTCACCTACCGTCTACTGAGCGC